ATCTAAGTGATCGTGTATCAAATGTTAAAATTTTGAAATTATCTGGTCAACCTACAATTCAAGATATTATGAAAAGAAATCTTTTAAGATGGTTTGGTCATGTAAACAGGAGGGAATATGACAACAGTCACGTTTTCATACTTTTCTGGTAGGAAACATCCTCAAAATGTTGGTATCAGAAAACGTTGAGAGAACAACATATTGAAAGATATCGAGAATTTTGGTATTAAAAGCTGGAGAAGGGACACTAGAAACAGAAATTATTGTAGACAATTAATTAATCGAAATCTACAGGTTACTTCTGTTCATTCAAACATCAAAACATAGTGATGAAATATAAAGAACAAACGGATAAAGGAAGGATTCAAGATTCGATGGCGAAACAAGGCGCTGTAGAAGAAAAAGTAACAGAAATATTGAGTAAAGATTCGAACAATTATTATACATGTCCAAATTGTAATGGACGGTTTAAACCACCAGAAATCACTGGACACGTAAAGTCGTATGCAAAAGAATGGTGTAACACGTACAAAATTAAGTTAAAATAGTAATGAAACAAATGAAAAATTGCCTCACTGGTGCTATGAAGATTACTATTTAAACCATGACGGAGGATAAAAGTCGAATGATATACTCGGACTCAATGCTTTATGAGAACGAACATCACATAGACTGTAAAGAACACTTAAATTCTATTCTAAACTATTGTGTGGGTGTGTTTTTTTTGCACTTTTATGTCTCACCCTACACCGCCAGGTAACCTGGGTTTTACTAACTAACTCTTTGAATTCTATGTAAATGAAAATCGTTTCAGAAAATTCTGAAAATGGAACGAGACCATCACGTAAATGAAATATATAGTAATTCAAAAAAGCATTATTTACACAATAATTAAAAGAAATCAGTAAAACAACAGGATCTAGTAAGGTCTATCGAGATTTTGCGGTACTCAAATTAGGAGACAGACACGATGTAAGTGGTTTAGCGGGCACTAAATCCAGACCCTGATGTGATATTAATTTTGAATTATTCTGTAATTAATGTTTTTTGTATTGCTTTTTAATTCATTTACGTCCTCCAGTGAATGTAACACCATTTAATATCCTTATTTTAGTCGGTGAAATGTCACTAGTCTTTTTATTTCGATTCGATTGAAAAAAAATATTTTGGGTGGGGTGAGTGTGGGTGTGGGTATGTGGGTGTCGGTGTGAGTGTAGAGGCAAGGAATACTCACACCAACACCGACATCCACCCACATCCGCCTTATGGATATGAAAACAAAGTTAGATGCATGGCGTTCATATGAACATATTCGTAAACATTATGTTTTAGAAGGTGATCAATTACATTGGTTAGCTGTTTCATTATATGTATCATGTAGAAGATATAAACATCTAACAACAAATCAGAATAATCCAATATCAATATCAATATCACGTTTATTAAAAAATGCTAATCATTTAGAATTATTTGTTTTTTTTTGATAAATTACATAAATGTGAAGATATGACCAATTTACCTGATTCAATTCGATCAAAAATCGATCAAATGTGGAACATGTTTTTAACATATCATCAATTATATTTGAAAAATATACAAAAGTATTTATTGAAATATTTGGTGGAAATCAATATAAATTAATTTATTCTGATTATCAATATAAAAGAACATGAAATCAAATAAATCCTAAACTAAATACAAAAAATAAATTAAATAAATGTTCACACCAAGATTTATATTCACTTATATGGACAATATATGCATCAGCTAAAACAATTTATCCATCAACTACCAATGATCTTTTTGCTTCATTTCATTTACTTATTTCTAGTTTTTTCTTTTATTTATGATTATGTCAAATTAGCCAAATTAGATTATATACTTAAAGGTAACATTCTATTAGAAGATTTCATTTATATATATCATTTTAATCGACTTTATTATTAACATATCATTTTTTATTTTAGTTTTTTTCAATTAAAAATTTTCTTTTTCACTTCTTATCAAATGAAGATTTCTTAATAGATATTTTTTTGTTTATTTTATTTTAACTTTATATGTTTTATTTTCTATATAAAAGATAATTTACTTTTACAAACTCGTTGGAATTCTTTAAAATAAAAATCTATTTCATAATATGGATTTTTATTTAGAAGTCTTTGAGATAAGATCTGAAACAAATTCAATTTTCGATTGTTCGATATAGAATTAAATTAAATTAAATATTTTGAGATTTATCAATATATTATTAAATAAAAATCATTTCAAATATCTTTTTATCGAATATATATATATCGATAACTTAGAAAAAAGACCTATTTTCTTGTCAATATGATTATTAATCGATGAAAACGTAAATAATCAAATATGATTAATGATTATTTCAAATCATGTTTAACAATTTAATCGTTTAAACGATATTATAGTTATAACTATGAACAATCGATTAATAATCATTTAGAAATAATATAAGGGTGTGGGTGTGGGTATGTTGCTCTTGTAAACCAACACCCACCCACACCCACACCCACACCCACCCTACACCCACACCCACACCCACACCCACCCACACCCACACCCACACCCACACCCTCTGCAACCTTTCTGAGAAAGAAAAAAAGGTCATACAAATAAAATATGAATATAATAATTAAAAGATTAATTGTCATAATTTATTTAATATTATTTGTAAGTATTTATAATATTCTTAAAATATACAGTTACTAGCGCTTTTTAAACTAGTTCATTCACTAAAATTCTCTCAAGGGTCTATCTTGAAAATCATGTAATTATTGTGTGAAATCTTACCATACTTATTTTGAAACAATGAAACAGTTAACTTTGAAGTTAGTATCTGACTTGAATATGCAGATTTCTTTCTTACCCACAAAGACGTTTCTTTGTAACAGCAGTTGTTTGATTTATACGTGTATATCAAATGTCATTCTAATCGATTAAAAATTGCACAATCACAATTATTGCGAGACAAGAAACTTTCGAGAATACATAGTATACACACGATGACTGAAGCCATTGGGTTTGAATTCATGTTAATATTAAACAAGACAAAAAGCTTTACATAACTACAATTTCGTTTTATTTTAACGTACTTTGATGTTCAAGCATCATAGTAAAATGCATAGATGAAATGTTTCATTCTCTTTTTTTTTCTTTTTGTAAACGTCCAAACAATCCATGTGGACTAAAGCCATATGCAATGAAAGATTTGAATTCATTAAAATTCAACTTATAATCACAATCTCCATCAGTTTTTTTGTATTTGATGAAGAAGTAAATATGGATTCGCTTCTGGCAAGATGACGCATATAAATCCATGTGATTTAAGAGTATCGATTATATTCAACGATTAGTACCAAGAAGACAAAATTCATCTGAAACTTTTTCCATTGCATATTTTCTCATTGTAAATGTGTGTAATACTTTTATAAAACTATCATAAGATATTGATGAGTTCTATGATCCTGATGCAATCCGTTCATATTTATTTCAAGATCATTTGATTTGATATGTTTTTCTTTCTCCATGATTATTTTCGTTATATTCATATTGAATTTCGATAATATCTTTCATTTATAGTTTTCGCTGCGTTTATTTTATGTTCATGAAATATCCTAAATGTAGTATATGTTTTGATTGCAAACCATTGTTAGCTTTCAGACTATTAGAAAGTAACAAAAATAGGTATCTATTGCAAAATTTCTATACAAAACTTGGATGAGAATCAATACTCTTCTGCACGCATTTGGGCTCCAATGTAAACGTAATAATCGATTATTACAAGAAAGTTCTATGTCTTCATAAAAAGACTTATTGTCAATTCCACATATGAATTCGTATTGTTCTTATTCAAGTATATACTTTTGCAATTTTTTTTTGCTTTAGTCATAAATTTGTTTACAACTGCAAACATTCAAATATTAAGGAGTATGCATTTCTAAAGTGAAATCATGAATATTAGATACAACACTATGATTCTTGCAGGAATTTTTGATAAATATGATTGATACACACTATAATGTAACATGAATGAGAATCTCTAACTTAAAAAAACCACTTTAACTTCGTCCCTAATATATTTTGGGTAATTCATATTTTACATGATATACAAAGTCAGTATTTACAATGAATTTGAAGGCCTTCAGAAAAATGACTTTAATGTGCATACGCTTTCGTCTAAAATTCCAAGTTGAGTTAGATTCTACTGTTTTCTCTTTGAGAAAGTCTAATTTAAGTTTAGTATTACTTTCTCTTTTATAATGCTTCGTATTCTTTTGAGCATCATCGAAAAAGTTGAAAGAACGATAGGGAACTTACCAATCCGTTACAACAATTTGTAGTTCGACATTATTGCCAATGGTTTTTCACATGAATAAACGAAGTACAATTGTGTTTCGAGGTAAATGTGGATGGATTGCCATTTTACCAGCATTTATATTGTCAATGGAATTCATCGAACAGGGTGTGGGTGAGAGTGTTCGTTGATCGTCTCTTGATCCACAATCGACACCCACACCCACCCACAACTACATCCAAGATAGTACTATCATAACACCTAAGAATGTTTACTGAGTTCATTGTGGCTTACTTTGACTATCTCGGATACGTAAAATAAAGAGAAGGAGTACATCCAAGACCATTTAGAAATATAAATATAATATCTTTCGGTAGCTCAACTGATCGTTTTATTTCTAAAATTACATAGTTTCTGTATTATAGTGGACAAGTAGAGATGTATCCGTGAATCATCACATTTCAAGCTCTATTGGTAATCTTTTTTCTTTAGTTTGAATAGTTTTAATTAAGATAGAGAACTTGAGCTAGATAAGCAAAACAATATGAAGAGAAATATGTTGTATGTTTTTTTTTCGTGAGTAAAACATTTAAGACTAGTAATTGTTCATCGGGTTGAATTTTAAACAATGAATCATTTGCATTAACAATCGTCATTGTACGTCTTTCACTAATCTTATTGCTCCAAACTAGATTGGACGGGTACCGCGAGGGATGTATTTAGAAACCGTACTAGTTGTACTTGTATTGAAACCACTTCGACGAAAATTACCACCAATGGACATACCCTAGATAGCAAATTTTATTCAGCGATACAAAACTTCAATTTGTAAAAATTCCTACATTTGTAAAACTATGTGACTGAAAACGACAGACATTGGGCATCGTGTGAATTTCAGGTTTGTGAGCGCCATATTCTTGATTCTCTGTACGATAAAATGGATGTAATTCAAACTTTCTATAACCTTGCCATATATCTATTAAAGATTGAAAGGAAAATGCAATTGATAATTGATAATTATGAACATTTTCAAATCAATCATACCAGGTCGATTGAATCTATCGGGAATATCAAATGTTCTGTAGTAATCACTGGTCCTTAAATCCATCATATCCATTAGATTTCGATGAACTATGCCATTCGGTTGTAAATAAATAGTACTCACATAGGCAGGAACATGATTAGATTGACATAGAATGGAACCATCAGGTCCAATTTCTGTATATTTTGGAAGAGGTGCATTTTTACCATATTGGTGAAATGAATGGAACATCTGAAGTTAAACAACTAGAAACAGTAGACCCGTAATCTGAAAAAAAATTGATTTCTAAGTTTTGCATTGTTTGATGCTAAATTGTCAGTTTTACTTATGTTAAATAAACCGATTCGTCCCCTAAAATTCCTATTGCAAAAAGAATCTTTGAAGAAAAATAGCTAGTAGCAACATTATTCAGAACTAAGAACTACGTAATAAAAAAAAGTTTGCACCAAGAGTTAATTAACTGTCTATTTTTGCGTAAAAAAATTACCTTTAATAATCAATTCGATTTCAGGAATCAATGACAGCCTATTGTTTCTACTTTCTAAATAAGACATCAGGATTGTATCAAAATACAAGACCTATATTTACGTTTTTCTCTTGCACTATGAAAGCATGACAAAGCAAAAACGAATAGTTAAGTCGGTTATGTATGACAGAATAATGCAAAATATTCAACTATAAGCATGATTTCTTCGATGTCGATACAAGTTAAACTTGCCGATCGCAAGATGTGGGTAGCTATGAAAGAATTTCTTCAGCATGTTTCACCTGTCAACACCTTTCAATTGCAAAATAGTCACTAAATGAAGTAAAAAGGTAGCTGTGAGGCAAGCAACGTTTTCTTACCTTTTCACTTCATTCATCTTCGAAAAGAAGCACATCTAATCACATTTTCTACTATGCTCACAAAAGAACAAGTAACAGAATTCTGCCTAGATTTTGCTGCGATCATGATCCTTTTGTAATCAACGATTGATCATACCCGATCGTGATTGACTAGAGAAAAAAATTTTCAAACGTTAAAATTGATTTAGCTATTTCGAATCAACTAGTATTCTAATGCAGTGATAAAAAATACGATATTATATGATGACACAATGATTGTTAAAAATTAATCTTAGTACGAAATTCGTTAACCAGTAACTTCGTTAGAGACTTGTTTTTTTTCTATTGATTCGTTAATTACCCAAAATCACATAGCAACTAGAGTTTTAGTTCTTCTTTCGTCGATAAACCCAAAAATATATTAGACATAGTTCTAGTTGGTGTCTTGTTACTAAAGATATACTGGTGTCCATTCATCTTAGCTTTCAAAACTTGAAATCTTTTATCGAAGCATGGTATGGATGTGGATGTGTGTCCGTGTGCAGATTGATGTGAGTGTTGGTGCGAGCCAGGAACTGCATTCACATACACACGTTTGGGAATCTACAAACACAAACTAATGTCATATAATAATGAATCTAATGTTTTTGGGATGAAAATCGTAATTTGAATAAATCTCACAGTAGTTATAATATATAAATACACAAAGGTAGTAAGCCATAAGATGAAAGACACTTCAAAAGAGAATAATGCTAGGCTAAATTCGGAAGCTAGTCGTTCAAGATTCTGTGACAATTGTAGGATCATCAACTAAGTTTATAGAGCATCATCTTTAAAGTTACCATCTTTT